GTATACATTTTCATTAAATGTTATACATTTCAATTATAATGGACAAAATTGTCCCTACTACATTCTTATTAGACAAAAGTACCCTTTCACCGTTATAACAACTTTACTATTTAATTATAACTTTCATAATTCTATCATTATTATCATACACATATATCTATGATATTTTTTTCCTATTCTTTCATTATCATTTTATTAAAATTATTATATAATTAGTTAATTACTTTAATTGTTGATTATATTTTAATTAAATTTCTATGAATGATAAATCATATATGTGTGTGTGTAGTATATATATATATATATATATATATATATATATATATATATATATATATATATATATATATATATATATATATATATAGGCACGCACACGCACCAATATATGTGACCGAGTACTAGATTAGTATTATAGATATTTTATTTATTTACTATTGTAAAACAAAAGTATAAATTATATCAAAAAATTGTTTACATTATTAATAAAAAAATATAAATTTTGTTCATCTCTATAGTTTTTAAATACGATGATTAAAACTTACTATTTTAAGGAATTGCAAAATATAATTTGAACTATAACTTGTAATTATTTGCATTTATCAACTTTTTTAATGTTGGGCATAAATTTTCGCGTATCACGCGTACAAAATGCTATTATTATATATAAATAATATAATAATTAATAATTTCAATTACTCAAGTCCTCAGACCTCAACTCTAAGTCGTAAGTCCTAACATTTGGTGTTTTAATAATTCTTATTTTTCAAATATTAACTATATGGATGGATGATTCTTCATCTTGTCATCAACAAATTAAAACACTTCAAGTGGCACTCCAAGTGAGCCAACTGAACAATCGGTTTGGTTAGGTAAAAAAGGAAACGTTCAAATAGTGAGCTCCGGTGCACGATATAACGATTGTTTGAAGTGGAGCATTACGTTGTGCAACCGTGTGCGCCATGTATGGTGCACACAGTTGCAAAAACGATGTCATTTTGACGTCCGATTTAAAAAAAAAAAATCAGTTTCGATTGTCGTTAACGACGTTATGTTGTGCATAATTTGAACTATATAGTTCATTTATTCTGGATATATAGTTCGAATTATGCACAACATAACATCGTTAACGGCAATCAAAACTGATTTTTTTTTTTTAAGTCGGACGCGTCATTTTTAATCAAAATGACACCGTTTTTACAATCGTGTGCACCATGCACGATAGCGATTTGAAGTCCCATGCACTACAATATGTGGGCCTTAGGATATTCATATATGTTTTGAAGTAATAAACAAAGAGGGTATAGTTTGCAAAAAAAAAAAAAAAGAGGGATATTTAGGTTCAAGTACCCAACGAAAACACAGGCTATGGCCCAACTTTTGAAGACACAGTATAGGACATATAAAATGAGTGGTCCAAAGGCATGAAATGGCAATAAAATCTCAAAGTCTAGCCCAAAGAATCGAAGATGGCAACTTATTATGTGGACCCGGGTCCCCATGCAATGTGAACTCATGTTTAAAATACATAATTTACATATTAATACAGTCACTAATCCTCTCACTGAGACAAAACACTCGTGTACGTATAAACTATGTCTATGGGCTAGAAGATTGATTGTGTGCAACTTATTTAAATAATTTAGAACTATGTCTATGGGCTAGAAGATTGATTGTGTGCAACTTATTTAAATAATTTAGATTTCCGCCAACCCTAGGGCTCGAACCCAAGACCATAAGGTTAAAAGCTTATTTAAATAATTTAAATTTCCACCCACCCTAGGGCTCGAACCCAAAACCATAATGTTAAAAGTCTTGCACTTTACTAACTGAGCTAAATGGGCAAGTGACAAATTGTTGAATGATGCCATTAATGGTTGTTATTCTCAAAATGAAAAGGTTAAGAAATCTAAAAATTCGTTTACCCTGAGGCTCGCACCCTGTGCTATCATTTTAAATTTTTGAAAAACTCATTTGTGACAAGAAACTCAAGTACTTGCAAATGCGATTTTTTATTTTTTGTACAACTTTAAAAATGGAAAAATGGCACTTTTTCCCCCTGTGTTATATGCTTATAGCACTTTTTCCCCCTGAGTTATTCATGCATTCACATTTGCCCCCTCAATTATTATAGAAGTGACGGTTTTTTCCCCTGATAATATTAAATGGACATTTCTACCCTTAAAACAAATATTTTATTTATTTCTCTTCTTCACCAAATTATTGCTTATACGTAGGGATGACCACGGTTCGGTTCGAACTGAACCAAACACTATAGCAATCAAATTAAAAAATTTCGGTTATGATTCATAACATAACCCAATATTTGGGTTTCCGTTTATTAAAATCGTGAACTGGAAAAAAATGGATCCTAAACCATGAACCGGAGGTTCAAATCGGAACAACTACTAGCAATAGCTTAAATTAGAATTATAATATTTGCAAATAGTGCATGTTTTTTTCCGCATTTATATTGACTCTCACATATAAGTATATATAATCGCGATTTAAGTTTTATTTTGAACCGTCGGTTCACGATTTTTGATCCAATTTGAACGGTTGGTTCAAACTTTCTTTTAAATTTTTTTTTTATTTTTAAAATATTCTAAATTTAACACTTAATGTATTTTATTTTTTTCAAATCGTGGTTATAATTTGTTGGAGAAGAAAAATAAATGAAATATTTATTTTAAGGGTAAATATGTCCATTTAATATATCAGGGGGAAAAACTGCCACTTAAATAATTTAGGGGGAAAAAGTGCTATAAGTATATAACAAAGGGGGAAAAAGTGCCATTTTCCCAAATTATCTTATTCTTGTCACTTCTTCCACAAATGGCACATTTCAATCAATTTTTCCGCTAAACACTAACCATGACACTCCTCTTGCCGCCACAAAATTAAATTTCCCTCGTCATCTTGAAGCCCACACACAAACCCCATTCTATTTCGATGGCTATTCACCACAACATTGTAGTTCTCCTTCACCAATCCACTCGTCGATTTGCTCGGGCATTTCATGTAAGGAGTTTCCTAACATAATAACTTGACAATGACATAGAGCAATAACCATCAGGCCCATCACCTTAAGTATGCAATAGGTTACGGTCGAACTGTAAATCATCTTGTAACTCTTGATGTGAGTCGAACTTGTAACCTTATAATTATCATAACCTAATCAACTCAATTTTTTTTGAAGAAGAAGAAACCAATGTGGTTATATTTATAAATAACTCAAAATTGAGTCAGGTGGGATAGTATCCTAGTATATAGTCGAATCGTGATTAAAAGCCTCAGCTGCTAACATATGCGCTAAATAATTTTGCGATATAGGAATAAAAAAACTGAACAATAAGTAAACATAGCTATAGTAGTCCTACAGTCATCAAGGGCATAACCAAGGTAGGATCGAGCTTGAATCTCCGATGTGGTTAACTATGCCTGAAGTGTCTGGCAGTCTGTGAATAGCTCAACTGACGATTCGCCACGTGCTCTGAGTCATGATAAAATTTCCTTGCACGCAAGAACCTCGACCATAAGCGGTGAGAAACAGTTTTGTAAGGGTGCGCTGTAAGCTGATATGTATCCGCCGTAGGCATCGAACAATACCACTCCAACTGTGGCTGTCTTCAAGTGTGGCCGGTACCCGGCATCGATAAAACAACGCACCAGCGGCATTGTTTGCGTTCCAGTAGCAGCGGTAACGTGCAGCTGCACGGGTGGCTGTGGTTGCACTGTTCTGACAGTAGGAGGAGCGGGCTGTTGCATGGAAGATGGCGGCAGCAGGTTGGCAGTGCCGAGGCCGGCTGATCGTGAAGGGGCAGCCGAGTGCACTTGCTGCCACGCCTGCATGGATGCTATGGCCATCGCAAGAATCTTCTTTGGCATCGGTAGGCATGCATTCCAAACGGCATCGTTCCGGGCTTTCCAAATGTTGTATAATATTGCACCTGTAAACAATATCCCATTAGCATCTAGAACATTTAGGATTACTCTAAACCATTCCTGGAAAATATTCGTCACAAAATGGGGGAGTGGAAGGTTAGATTGATCCCATATGGACTTAGCATAATCACACTACACTAAAGCATGCATTGTGTTCTCATCCATAATTCCACACATGGCACATATCGGGCTAACATCCACCCTCTTTATAAGTAAATTGGTGGTGGTAGGGAGGATATCACCTATAACTCTCCATGGAAAGGTATTCCACTTAGGGGGATTTTCAGTTTCCATAGGGTTTGCCACTTATCAAAACCAGTATTATATTATCATAAGTGCCAACAATAAGTCTGTAACCATTCTTGACTGAATAACAACCATTTGGGTCTCCATACCAATACCAACAATAAGTCTGTAACCATACAAAATGTGAGGATCCCATGTGTACTAGTAGTCTGATCAATTAACCCCATGACTTTAAAACAACTATATTATTATTATTATTATTATTATTATTATTATTATTAAAACCAAATCCCTCGTAAAAAAACAAATGATAAGGACAGTATTTTTCATGGTAGTCATTATTATCAATAATAATAATAATAATATTATTATTATTATTATTATTATTAAAACCAAATCCCTCGTAAAAAAACAAATGATAAGGACAATATTTTTCATGGTAGTCATTATTATCAATAATAATTATGTTTGACTCCAACGATTCATTTTCTCGAATAAGCTCCTTACAATTCACCATGAACACCTCTTCTTCTTCATCTAACCCCTCAATTATCTTGTTAAGGACATTAATCATGGCAAATGTGTCAACTTTAATCACAACATTAGTCAATATTTTATCTTTTACGTTCGAAAGCCTTCATGTAATCCTCATTCGTAAGTCTACATTCAAATCATTCAGCCTCTCAAAGTCAACTGTGAACATCATTGATTGTTTTGAAAAATTTCTCATTCTCAAAGGCACAATCTTTAGGGGTAAAAAAAAAAAGCAGAATTTTCTCTAATCTCTATGCAAACATCGCAACTTGGCCTTTAAAAATGTTGAAATTAAGGTAGTCAATGTTAATGGGGAGTAGTGTTTTGACCTGTTTTGTCCTTTTCTCCTCCATTGAGGAAGTCTTGATTCTTGAAAAAATGTGTTTGCGGTATCTTCCAAAAATATCTTCGTCTCCGTACCCAAACCCAGAATCATCCCTGACAACCAATTCCGATCATCGGATGAAATTTCCGGCGACCGGAATTACGAATCTCCCCTTAACTGTTGACAATTTATAAGGAAATACAATGGATTCGACCGAGCACGATGAGGAGAACAGTGAAGAGCCGGAGACTCCTAATTACCGATTGTTGCGCAGCTGCTTGGGGCTTGTATTGTTTGTATTGGGCTTCTTTCTGCTGTCGATTGTCGTGCTTTATTTCGCGGTTTACATTGAGAGTTTATCGATTTGGAACCCTATTTCTCTGCCCTCGCGCTGCAAAATAGTTTCGAGCAGTAAGTGATTCTAAATTATTTTATTTTGTGCGCTGAAATGATGGATTTGTCTAGGGTTTGTTATTGCTTCAATTTTCTTATTATTCTTACTTCTTGGGGTCTGATTGGGGGGTTTGAAAGAACATTACATTTATCATAACTTTTTCTTTTCTGGGCTACTGGATTGAGTTTGGCCTCCAATTTTAGCTGCCAATTCCTTGAACCTGTTTGGTTTCCTAAGAAGGGTTTGGAAGTAATCTGGTTCAAGAATGAAACATGATTGGGTTAAAACTTTTCAGTTTGCTGGAAACCATACAGAGTGGAACTTATAGTGATTGTATATGTTATTCCCTTGGGGAAGCTTGTGTTCAGCTTTATATTACCTTTAATATTACATTGTTTTGCACTTTTGCAATGTATGGATTGTGAACTAACTCAAATAAGAATCAAGAAACCTGAAAATGACCAATCGAAAATTTTCTGCAGGTGTGGATCTTAGGTCATCTAAAGTCTGTGAACTGGGACTGTTGAATTACAAAGCTAAAAATGTACTTTACCCATATGAAAGAAAGAAGTTCCGGTGCCGCTATGATTACTACTGGGCATCTGTATTTAAGGTGATCATCATTAATACTTATGGCATGTGATACTCTTTTATAGTCTACTTCCTTTATTTGGGCATATATTATGATCCTGTGAACTTGTGAGCTGTGGCGTAGTTATATGCTTCGCAATAAGATTATATGTATGCTCCTTTAAATGCACAGATCCACCCCTCTCAAAAAGAAAAGGAAATTAATTCAAGATTATAGTACAAACACGTTAAGGACATGAAGGTCATACCAATTCAATATGGATTGTCATTTTTCATTTGATGTATACTGAATAACATTCATACTATCTGCCATTATCTGGACCTTGAACTTGACGCTCACCAGTTCAGCAGTTTTTTCTTTCCTTTTCCTTTTTGATAGAGAAATTTGCAAATCTTCTGAGCATAAAATAATAAACTGCTCACTTTTTGCTTTTGTAATTCCCTTTTCTAAGTACAGGTTGAATATACAGATCATTCAGGTCAGTCACGGCTAGCTTTGGCAGAAGCTCCAAACGAAGCACTTCCCTCTGACTGTCGGCCCAATTTCATTGCTGCTTGGTTGACAAAAGATAGATTCAAGGTAGAATTTGGGCATTGAATTTTTAGTGTAATGTGGGAAAACACTAATTAGTATAAAAGCTATATCTTGACAAAAATTGTTTACAGTATTACTTAAAAGACCAGTGTGCACCTTTATATCACAGAATTATCTCTTGAAGTGATATTTTCTGGATTGAGGCACCAAAGGAAATATGTTGAAATGAAAAGTTTTGCGAGTCCACAAAAAGAAGATTTCCAAGTTTTTGAACTAGATTACTAAATTTTGTTCTGAGTTAATACACGTGTATCCATGTGTTTGTGTGTATTTTCACTCATTGAAGCTATTTCTTTGTTTATTTGCGAATTATCATGTTAGTGCCTGCTCTTTTGTTCAGGTGAATGAAACTTACAAGTGCTGGTATTCATTGGGAATATCTAAGATTAACATATATGAAGATGGCTTTTTCGATTGCCAAGCTAAAGATCCATCTACTGTCGAGATGTCTGTTCGCTATTTGATCCTGTGAGTATCAAAGAAAGAATTTTTGTGTCTGCTTTACACCATAAAGTGGATTGTTTAACAATTAGAAAATATTTCAAGAACATCTGTGCTTATACCCATTGGCAATACGCCTCCTGATATTTTGAAATAGATGAAAAAAAACTAGATTTGATGGGTGTTCAGTTACTTTTCTATTTCCTGCCCGGTATATATGTAACTAGAAGTGGTGTTATTTTCGACAGGTTCATGAGCGTATCAAAATCTGCACTTGCCAGTGCAAATTTATTACAGTCCTGGGGATGGGGTGTGGTTGCTGGACTCATCACCGGGTTCTGTTCTTCCTTTTTGCTCATATTCTTGGTTGGCCTTTTACGGAAATTCTGGTCATATCATCTCCAACTCTCCATGACAAGATGGCTCGCTCTGCATTGCACTGCAGTCCGTTTAAAAAGAGTTTGTTTCTTTGTAGCATATGTGTCGTTTTCAAGCTGGTTGGCCATTCAATACTTGCAAAGAATCGGCCTCCCTGAGGTTAGAGTTCAGTATAGTAGGTAGCGGTCGTTTTCACAGAAGTGTGACTTGCAAGCACTCGACATTCCTATGTAAGAGTCTAAAATCCTTGTGCCATTAGAAATGGATTTTTTCATATTCCATCATTTGTAGTCCTTGAACAGGGTTTTGAGCCTCGAGTTTATGGTTCTGGAACATAGCAGCAGTCGTACCCTATAGTTTTTGTTAGAGGGTTTTAGTGTATTGTATGAACATACCATAATGTTTTCACTATATTAGTAATACAAAATGTATGATTCTTATAACATGGCTTTAAGAAACAGGAATCTTGTTTTTATTTAAGATCAGAGGAATAAGTTAGAACCAGTAGAATGGTGATTATGTTTGTCGTTATTTATATTCAATCTCAAATTTATATTAAAGTGGGCATTTGGTCTAGTGGTATGATTCTCGCTTTGGGTGCGAGAGGTCCTGAGTTTGATTCTCGGAATGCCCCTTTTTTTGCTTAGCAAAAATCACATTCCATTTTTTCCCTTTGGCTAGCATGAGACAACATGCCCGTGGTCAAACAACCCACCGTCACATATTCTTGTCCACAAAGGCGAAACTCCCTCGTCCTCAGGACACTCACATTCCAGCCCGATAGAATAGTATAGGGGCAAATCACGATAACTCAACTATTCATGAGATGAGAACACCAGTGTTTGTATAAAACTCCTCCGTCCTCGGGGCACTCACATTCTAACCCGACAGAATAGTATAGGGGCAAACTCCTCCGTCCTCGGGGCACTCACATTCTAACCCGACAGAATAGTATAGGGGCAAACTCCTCCGTCCTCGGGGCACTCACATTCTAACCCGACAGAATAGTATAGGGGCACATTCCAGCCCGACAGAATAGTATAAGGGCAAATCACGATGACTCAGCTACCCATGAGATGAGAAGACCAGTGTTTGTGTCCAAGCTCGATCCTATGAGCACCATCACAGATTCTTGATCAATTCATCTGTACTAATGACCTGCATCTTGTGAATGGATTCAAGTCACAATCTGAACGATAGCAAAGCATTTATCATAAGTTCACCTTTAGGTTTATACTCCAGAATGTAAAGAAAGTAGTATAACGTAGAGACTTCTCCATTAATAAATAGTTCAGCTATAGTACAAAGTTGGTATCCTTAACTTCTATACTTTACAATGAAGAATAATAATAACAATACTAAGAACATGATAAAATGCTACGGTTTTGTACAGTGTATCGGTACATATAGAAACTGATTCCTTCTCGAGTTGTCTACTCGGTCAAAGATGAAAATGGTATTCTGCAATTGTATTCTGTACAAGGCTATCTGGCTTAATCCCAGCTTCAAGCATGTGGTTATACAATGATTTTGCTTCCACCAACCATCCAAACTTGCAGTAACCACGGAGCAGAACGCCATACGTTATCACATCGGGCAATAAACCACATTTCAAAGCAGAATAAAAGATAGACGATGCTTCTTTCACCATTCCCCTTTTGCAAAGGCCATCAATCAGAACTGTGTAGCTTATGATGTTTGGGGAAATATTGTTGCTGAGCATTGCTTTATGGAGCTCGAATGCTGTTTCCAAAGAGTAAAACTTGAAGTAGCCATCAATTAAACAGCTGTATGTGACCACATTGGGGAGTTTATCTTTTCCCGTCATTTCAGAGAATAATGACATTGCATCGTCCATTCTACCTTCTTTACAGAACCCATCAATCAGAATAGTTAAGGTAATTGTGTTGTACCTGATTCGTCTCTGCTTCAGCTCTTCAAAAAGTTGAATGGCTTCGTTCAACATTTTCATAGAGCAGTAGCCACAAATTACAGTGTTGTAGGTCACAATATCGGGATCTGGTCCACAATCCAAGACGTGTCTGAACAGTTCCAATGCGTTTCTCAAATGACCTTCTTTAAAATGTGAATTTATGAGAACATTATAAATGGCAATATCAGGTTGTGTTCCGGTTTTCTTCATAAGCTCAAAAACCTGTAATCCGGCAGCTAGATTATGACATTTGCAAAGCCCGTCAATGAGAACACAATATGTAACAACATCGGGAAGGAACCCCCTCTTCAGGATTTGGAAGAAATAAGCTAAGGCTTCACGAAATCTCCCTAGCTCAAAGATGCCTCGGATAATAAGAGTGTGAGTCACTAGATCTGGGACTATATCATAAGCACCCATCAGAATATACAGATTTGTGGCCTCCTTTATTTGTTTCAATCTACAGAACCCATCCATCAATGTATTAAATATATAAACATTGGGAACTAATCCGCTTTTAACAACTTGATAAAAGAACACAAGTGCATCGTCCATCCACCCTTGTTTAACGAGGCCATTTATAAGCATGTTGCAAACAGTAACATCAGGAATATGTCCCTTATTTACCATATCCTTGTATAAATGAAATCCCTCTATAAAATTTCCTAGCTTGCAGAAACCGTCAATAAGACTGCTGTAAGTAACAAGAGATGGCTGAATGCCGTTTTTTACAATCTGACCATACACTCCAAATGCCTCAAGAAGCCGATCATTTTTGCACAAGCCATTTAAAAGGATACTATATGTAACGATGCTTGGCCGGACTTCTTCCCTTAACATTCTCTTATAAACTTCAACACCGCTTAGAATATCTCCCCTTCGTATGTAACCATCAATTATGGTGCTGAAAATAACAACATCCAATTTTATGCCTTTACTTAATGCAGCTGAGAGCAACTGATTTGCCTTGTCGAACTTCCCAGCCTTGAACAAACCATCAATTAAAATGCTATAAACAACTATGTCAGGCTCTATACCTTTTGCAGTCATTAGAACATAATGTTTGAATGCCTCATCCAACCTTCTTTCCTTACAGAATCCATTAACCACCGTACTAAATGTCACCAGACTTGGCTTTGGACCTACTTCTTGCATCAATAAGAAAAACTGATGTGCAACACCCCCTCGGTTTTCTTTGTAAAGAGTCCTTAAAATTTTATTACAAACTAAAATATTAGGCACAGACCCATTCCCTGTCATCCTTCTGTGGAATTCCAGGCCCATTTCAACCTCGTTATTCTGGAGAAACCTACCCATCACAAAGCTATACACATCAAAATGATGTCTCTTACCACCCATCATCCCATTTTCCATTTTTCCACAGATATCCAAAATAACACCAACACTCTTTCTCTCGATCAATGAACTGAGAATCTTCAACATAGCATACTTGATATCGAAGCATCCATATCACAAATTTGAAAAAGAATGCATTTGCCCAATTAATCAACCCAATTCTACAAAAAGAAAACAAAATAGATCATTACCAGAAATTGAGACACTCCAAATTCATCTCTGCAAATTGAGAAGCACCAAAAATTAAGTAAATTCTGCAGATTTATATTTAATACAAAAAAAAAAAACAACAAACAAAACAAAAAAAGAAGTTTATGCATATGACCATAAGGGTATGAGTAAGAGTTTTAATACCCCAAATCTGTTTCAGCAACTCTTCTATATGCTTAGTCTGTTCAGAATCATTTCTGCAAATTTTACAGAACTATTAGCTAACTGATATCCTTGTTTAGTTAAGTAATGCCAAATGCTGAACAAAAACAATAGATAGCCATTAATCAACATGAATGCAGAACTGACAACGATGGGGGAGGTAGGATTCAAACTCAAGCCTATTGCTTGGAAAGGAGTGCACCCCTTTCCGTCTCCTTATTACTTGTTTGTTTGCTTAATTTCACGCATATATAGTCTGGTATCTTACCGGTTCATGAAGGCTAGATTAAGTTTGAGAATGGACTTCCTTCTCATGACTTTCACACTGCTTCATAAAGGATTGCATGTTTGAAGGTATTGCACGCACCAAAATTCTTTCCTTTTGCTTCTGCCATTCTGCACCAGTAAAGGCATCAAAACACATAGCTCCTGGTTAACATATCATATCACGAAATACGCCTTAACCTCTACAAATACTACATTAAGCTTAATGCCAAGGCAACTGCTAAACAACATCCACCTAATCCAGTTCTAGTAATGCCTACTGTAGTACTTTTATATCATAGTTGAGAATAACACTATTTGAGCATGAACTGTGAAACAAAGAAGCAAATTCCCTTCAAGCTCTGAAAATAACACACAATAAGGCAGGGTATACCGAAATGTATGACTTTTATCAAGATTGAATTATCATCGTACAATCACCGAAAATCATATTATATACTAAAGTGATTACCAGAACTTGAAGCGCTCCAAAATCATCTCAACTAATTGAGAAACGCCAAAAATTAAGTAAATTCTGGAAAATTAAAACAAAACTGAAAACTTAATGCGTATGAACAAAAGGGTATGGGAAAGAGTTCCGCTACCTCCATGTACAGACAGTTGCAGAGGTTCTTCTCTATGATATTTTTGAGTCAAGTGAGGTCAAAATGGGGAGTCACTGGAGTACCCAGAAGAGTTCGATAAGTAGGTTACGATAGAGTAGAGAGAGACTACAGGATTTACTCCATTAGGGCTTTGTCATTTTTTTCTTTTCTTTTTCTTTTCTTTTCTTTAAAGAAAAGATTAAATGTGCGCAAAATTACAATCCTGCCCTAAAAAATTGCAGCGTACACTGGTAATTCGGTGATCACAATATGGTGTTAGGTATAGAGTTGTTAACTAATTAGGTTAGTGAGTTTGACTAATTGATAACATTAATTGTTGAAAAGTGTTTGGTAAATATAAATTAGTTGTTAACTGATTACATATTTTTTAAAAAAAAAATTGATAAAATAATTTTGAACATATTTTTTATTTTTAGTATTTTAGAACAATAAGTTACAAAAAATGAATTAATTAAAATTAATTAATTAAATACTCATATTAATTGTTTAACAAAGTCAAACAGCTCATAGTGATCAAATAAGCTGATAAAAGCTAACTATGTTATCTAGACCAATTTAAAAATTTAACTCTTAAAAACAATTTCACTTTTTAAATTTGAATCGGCTAAAATTATAAGATGGAATTTACTCAGATCCACAATTCGTAACTCAAAATCTTTAAATATTTAGTTTTTTTTTTTTAAAAAAAAAAAAACATATTTAGTAATGAGACATTTCTGTGTAGATTTTGGGTAAATTTAACCTTGTTTATTCTCGAAGAGATAATTTTGTTATACTTTTAAGATACCATTATATTTAGATAAAAATTTTGTTTGATAAACCGTGTGTACATCTCGCTCGTTTCAAAACCCTGAGTTTGCCAGAAATTTTTTTACATCAATTATCTTTCAGGAAGGCATTTGCTAGATGAATTAATATGAGTAGCTCCGCATGACATATTGAGCTATCATACATTGAATATCCCCTCTGCTTGAGGAAAATAAAAAAGAAAGAAAGAAAGAAAGAAAAACCTAAAAAAAAAAACCAGCATACATTTCTTTTGGACAAGTAGTTCCATTCCATACACAATCTTTCAAGTTTCAACCATAACACTAAATCTCAAATGTGCTCTCCTGCTGCAATCAACCTCAACTTCAATCTACAAAGCTGATGACTCTGCAAATGCATCATATGCCCCCTCCAAGAAGAGAGATTCAAGAGGCCTAATTTAGAAGATAAAAATCAATTTGAAGAGTGAAATCTAAGTAATTAGCTCAAGAATGACATGTAAATAAATAAAAAACAAACAAAATCACAGCATGTAATCCATGTATCCAGATAAAATACTATGGTGTTGCAGTGTGAGATTAGCACATCAAACAGTAAAGGGTGAGGCATCAAACCCAAAACAGAAGGAGATCAGAAGAAGAAGAAGAAGAAGCTTTTGATGTAGTAGTTATTAGGTCTCGCCATTTTTGTTGGCGAGATATGAAAAACAGAAATAAGTAATCAATCAATTTTAACACTAAAAAGGAGCATTGTCATTAGAAATTCCTTTGATAAACTACAGAAATGTTGAAAGAGTGTCATGTAAGAGAATAATTTATAAAAGATTAGATAGTAGTACGCTGGCGAAAATTATAAGCTATTAGTAGAATACAAAAATTGCCGACAAAGGCCATATTTCTTATGAGTTATGATTAACTTTTGCACAGGGCATGAGGAAATAATAAATGCAATTGTCTAAAGTTCATCACTAAACTGACTGAAGCTGCCAAGTACACTGTCTCAATCTTCATGGAATATGACTATTCTAAATAAGTTTCAGAGTGTAAGTTCACACACTAGTCCATAATATAAAAGAAATTGCAAAAGAAGTCGGTACCTGCAAGTGCCATACCAGCTAATACAATTCATCATCAGGGATCTCTGGATTAAGAAATTTCTTTGGATCTTTAGTGACTTCCTCATAGCTAAGTGTAGCATTAACCCGATCAGGAACTGGTTCAAGTGCAATAATGCTTTCTTTGTCAATAACTCCATCAATTATGCCATATTCCACTGCTTCAACGGGGGACATATAACGATCCCTATCAATATCTTTCTCAACTTGCTCAAATGAGCGGCCAGTAAAATTGGATATTATTCTAATAACATTCTCTTTGTTGTGCATGATTTCTCGGGCTTGAATCTCAACATCAATTACTTGCCCACTTGCACCTCCAAGTGGTTGATGCGTCATAATTCGAGTATTAGGCATTGCCAAACGCTTCCCTTTAGTGCCACCACCAAGGATTATAGAAGCTGTTGAAGCTGAAATGCCTAGGGCAATTGTTGATACATCAGCTCTTAAAAGCTGGATAACGTCAAAAATAGCCATGCTTGCACTGAAAAGGGCAAGTACATCAGTTGAAAGATGATTCAAGAACTAAGAAGTGGAACAACTGCTTCAACATCTTCAATCAACCGAGCAAGGTGAAATAATGGGCAAATACTGGAAAAGGGAACTATAGTAACCGACTCAACATATCTCAATAACAGTAGCTTTTAGCTGCATATGTGACTAGATAGAAACAAATAGCAGAACTCGCACATGGAAATCCAGTGGAGAAGGTTCATAATCTTTGAAGCAAAAATAGTCCATAGTATGGAAGTCTAAGTAGTGGGATATCAACCAATCTATCAATTGATAATCTTTAAACATATAGAGTACATTTATTATTTTGTTACAATGAGTAAACCACTAGTCAACAAACTAAAGATCAAGACATGGATTGTTTGTATACTATACTAGTCTACTTCATATTTGTTCGATAAGAATGAAATTATGTCATTTAGGAAGTTGGCAATGAGGATGTAACAGTCCTGTTGTAAAAAGTTAAATTGAATATTAAACTACTTAAATTCAAGCTTCATCCCCTTTTTGTTCTACAACTTTAGTACATGATCATATTTCTTTAAATGCTATTTTTTCTATTTCTTAAATAAATAAATATAACCTTTACTTAATTCTGAAGAATTTTAAACTTAGACATACTAGACAACAAAATAGAAAAATTGACAACAAATACATGCACATTCAAACAACAGACTTGCTTCTGGAGTTGCATAATAACAGGCACTAAAATAAATATTTGTATCTGCAGCAATGTTGTTTAAAAGAATCAACTCGCTACACTAGAGGTTAGTGGACCAATTTTCAGTTCAAGAGCCAACAAGCTAAGATAGACTGCTACAGTGCTAGTTATTCCAGTGCAGGGTCCATATTCCTGCTCAAACAGATTTTCGTGCAGATTCACATCATAACACTCCCAAGCTTTACTAGGTGAACTTTTTTATGCACTTGTTTACAGTCAGAAGACATCCTAAGTCATCTTTCCAAATGTATGTTAATGTTCATTGATGCATTACTGCAGTTCACATATGCTCCAGAAGCTCAACATTCTATCTCGGAGTATACAGTTTCCGAAGAGAAAAATCATTGAAATGGAAATAAATCTTAATGGCTCAGTACGTAGCTGAAGACAAATACGGGCATTTCTTCAAATGAGCTAAGAATCTTCGCTAGAAAAATCAAATTAGCAAAATTTCAACTTCCTATGACGAAGTATATACCTTAGGGAGCCACCAGAACAATTGATGAATAGCCTAATGTCTCTAGTGGGGTCCTGAGCATCCAACAGCAGCAACTGGCTGTTAATGGCGTCGGCAACGAAGTCGTCGATCTCGTTCCCCAGGAAAACGATTCTCTCCCTGAACAACAGCCCCATGACGTCGGCCTCGGCTCCGCGCATAGCCGTGGCCTGCGTTTGCGGGGCCGAGGCGAGATGGAGGGAGAGCCTATCGCTGTTGCTGAGAAATTGGGATTCGGAGAGGGGTTTCGGGGTGGTGGGGAGGTGAGAATCGAGAATGCATTTGATAGAGGGCGGAGTGAACTTGAGAGACGGGTGGCGGAGCAGGCCGTGCCGGCGGAGGCGGAGATGAGTAGAGAGAGATGCGCGGTGAGGAGAGAGAGGCGTTGAGAGTAGAGCGAGAGAGTCCATTGTCCGTTCAGTGAAGCAAGCAAGAGAGCAGGAAGGGGATAGGGAAAAAGACGGTTTTCTTTTCTGTGTTTTACGTGGGCCGGAATTGATGCAGGTGTGGCCCAAATAAAACAAAGCCCATAGCCCACCACTCCCCTTACCAATCATTTTGGTCCAATATATATACAGCGGCAAATTAGGATAGTTATGCTGTGCATCCGTATGCACCACGCATGGTGCATACGGATGCCAAAACGACGTCGTTTTATTAAAAAACGCGCATCTCTCCTTTAAAAAAAAATTCAGGTTCGATTCCCAGCAACAACATTATATTGTTTATTCATTCTGGAATTTTAGTTCATAGATTATGGAATTATAGTTCATTGATTATGGAATTATAGTTCATCGATTCTGGAATTTTAGTTCATAGATTATGGAATTTTAGTTCATTCATTCTGGAATTTTTAGTTCATAGATTAGATTATGAAATTATAGTTCATCGATTATGGAATTATAGTTCATGGATTATGAAATTATAGTTCATATGTTGTTGCTGGGAATCGAACCTGATTTTTTTTTTTAAGGGGGAGACACGCGTTTTATTAAAACGACGTCGTTTTTGCATCCGTATGCACCATGCATGGTGCATACGGATGCACAGCATAATTTGCCGGCAAATTATGCTGTGAAAACGTTTTCACCAGCCAAAAAATTCATAATTAGATATTGATAATTAGTAATAATGACAAATTATGCCCTGGAAACGTGTTGACCGAGAATGGTGAACACAAGGCCAAACGACGTCGTTTTTAGACAAAAAAAAATAAAAAAAATCGCGGATGTGGAGTTAACGGCGCGCGTTGATCAAATTATGAATTTTCTGTTATGAGATTATGAATTTTCAGAAAATTCATAATCGCATACACAGAAAATTCATAATCGCATAACAGAAAATTCATAATCGCATAACAGAAAATTCATAATCTCATAACAGAAAATTCATAATCTCATAACAGAAAATTCATAATCTCATGGTTCCAAAGTGAATGTGTAGGCATGGTTCCAAAGTGAACGTGCAGGCATGGATTCATAATTTATGAATATCCGTGATTT